TCATTCATCCATTTTTTGTGGAGTTAAACTCAACACCATGGATCCAATGATGTTAATAAAGTTCATGATCCAAAACCTAACCCAAGATTAGCCAGAAAATAATCACAAAATAATATCACATTTAATATAAAAATGATTTAAAAATGTTTTAAAAATAGGAAATAATGAGAAAAATATCAATTATGTTCAAATTAATCAAGAAGTTAGAAGTAAGGCCATAGAAAAATCAGAAATGGATCCAAATATTTTTATAAAATTTTTGTTAATTTTTAAAAGTCAATAACTATTTTTAAACTATTTAAAATTGCTCAAACAAACGTAAAATAGGTCAAAAATAGTAAACCTCAACATAGAATTCCATAAAACTTTCAGAAAGTCAAAAATATGTAAAATAATATTTATGAATTTTTTCAGAATTAAAAAATGTCAGAAAGTATTTTTTAGGTAATTAAAAGAAAGCAAATAATACAAAAAATATAAAAAATACTAAATATCAAAATATAAATGTGAAAATATAGTCATGAGATCAGGAATAATTCAAAGTATTTTTGTGAATTTTTCCATAATTTTTGGATAAAAAATAAAAGAGTTATGAATTTTTGAAAATTTAATCAATAAAAATATAAAATCAAAAAATAAAAATAAAATCAAAAATATGTGGACCATCAGATCATAGTCAAAACGCGTTAGTAAGCTAATCCAGTGGACCAGACGCGATGTGCTTGATATGGACCTTAGTGAGATACACATAGGATCAGAAAAAGGGCAACCAATGAAATTAAAACGTTTGGCACGCTATCATTGGCTGAGACGAGACATGTCATCGTCTTCAACCTCCAGACACCCTGCAATGGGGATTTTGTGAGATCCTTCAAATGGAAAAATTAGGACCCCGGGCTAGCATCATTGAACTCGTCTCTTCAAGACGACTCTAACACAACCATCGCGCCAAATTTATATAAGGTATGGAGAGAGATATGAATCAAAAACCCAGAAAATAGCGAGCACCTTCAATTTGAGATTTCTCTCTCAATTCTCAATGGATTTAAAAAATGTAAGCAGCATTAGAATCAGGAGAAGGAGTAGAATAGATTAGTGCTTGATTTGGATCCAAATGGTGGAGAATTCTACCTTTTCGAAGTTCAAGAAAGAAGCTCTGAAACTGGACTTCTGTAGCTTGAATTATGGCTCGTTTTGATTGGTTTAAGTGTTGGAGAGTTTATATGATGATCAAGGATGATGAATGCACGAAGAATTTTGGAAAAGGGAGCTTAAATCTCAGAAACTGAATTCAAAAAATATGGGTTCGTGTGAGATTTTGGCAGGGTGTTTTTGGCTCTCAAAGCTTGAAGAAATGAATGGGGAAGGACCCTCTATTTATAGGGAAGTGAATGGGAATGAAAATTTGAAGAAACAAGGAAGTTTGGAGGGAAATTGAGTGAAGGTCGAGCACGAGTGAAGTGTGACTTCATTTCCATCAAAACTCAAACAAATCTTGCGTTTTGGGGTGCTAATCACTTCTGGCAAGTTTGATAATCAAGTTTAAATCAAAAACGCGCATAAATCTTGTGTTTAGAAGTCACATTATGGATTTCAAAATTCGGACTTTGTGAAAAAATCAGTTTCAAGTTACCAAATTCAAATCCATGGCATTTCCAACTCAAGGGGTCTTAGGGCATGATTCTTGATGCTTTAGAAAGATGGGGTTACAAGCTTTGCAATGGAAAAAGAATAGAATCAAATGGATGCTTGAGCTGAAAGTTATATTGAGTCAAAGTTGAAGAAAAAGGGTTGACTTTCCATACTTAGAAATATTTCAAATTCTTCTTCAAAAATGACCTATAATCTTTTGCATCCAAACATGGCCTTCTACTTGGAATTTGCTCTTGACCAAAAAAGATGGAGTGAAGTAGATCTCTTGAATAACATTTTGGGACTTGAATCATTCAAAATATCCAAAAATTGAGAGAGTTATGACTTGTTGAATTTGGCCAAAAATCATGAAATGACCTATAGTCTTTTACATCTTTAAGGCAATTTCCATCCATTTTCTCACTTTGCACATAAAAGAAGGCATGAAATTCACATATTCAAGATCATTATGGAAAAATAATGGACTCAAGGTGATAAAAATTTACCAATTTATGACCATTTGAAGTCACATGTAGAAAATTGTGGGTTCATCTGGATGGCTTGTAATCTTTCTTCTTCACCAAGTTTCTTCCACATGAAAACTCTTTGGGATTTTTGAAGTGGTTTGTTGATAACCCTTTGAAGAGAAATATGTCTTTGTAATTACTCAAAAATACCAAAAGGTGAGCAAGATATGCTCCTTTGAAGTTCAAAACCCTAGCTTCTAGATCAAGAGAATGCCTTGGAGAACTTTGACAAGTTTGAACAAACTTCTTGTACCAATATTCTTGCTTTGTGAATAGAAGTTGTTGAGGATGATAATGAAGACTCATAGCCACCAAAACCACTTCCATATCTTGAATTTTGAGATAAATATGCTCTTCTGACCAATAGGAACAAGGCCTTGTCCAAACTTGACAACTTCCCCAATCAACCCCTTCTACTTTTGGGTCAAATTTAATAACCTTGAAATATGGTGAACCAAAACAATCTTGCCATGCCATTTCTTCTAAAACCAATCCATTGATGAGGATTGAACTTCTCAAGCTTGTATTGACTAGGGCATGGAAATAAACTCATGAACCCATGGGGTAACTTGTTAAATCTCATTGCCCTTACCTACATGGATAACAAACAAGAAAAGCCAACATTGTATTTTATAAGTGAAGAAATCAAAACAATATTCGTGATCACAAAAGGAACATAAGTCAAGGTGCTTCGTAATCCCTCAAAAGGAGCATAACTCAAAGTATGGAGGGGAACCAAGGATCCTAGAGTGATCTTGTTTTGAGTGAAACAACATGGTATGATGAAGGGGCCTTAGGGGTAAAAATTGGGGTACAACAGTTTCCAAGAACTTAAGAGGAAGTTGACGACCACTCCTTTTTTTATTTTGCCTAATCTAGCATAACCGTTTGTTGTGTATTGTGATGCTTTGTTGATGGGATTGGGAGGCATGTTGTGCAAAATCAGTAATTTGTAGCTTATGCTTCAAGATAACTTAAAGTGCATGAGAGGAATTATATGATGCATGACTTAGAGTTGGCTGTCTTTGTGTTTGTATTAAAGATTTGGAGGTATTAGAGTTTGAAATATCTCTTTGATCAGAAATAGTTGAATATGAGGTAGAGGGAGTGGTTAGAATTCCTGAAAGATTATGATTTTGGTTTGAATTACCATTCCGGTAAAGCAAACATAGTAGTTGATGCATTGAGTGGGAAATCTTTGCATATTCGATGTTAATGGTACGAGAGTTAGAAATGATTGAACAATTTCGAGATATGAGTTTGATTTGTAAAAAGACTTCTTCTGGAGTTAAGCTTGGTATGTTGAAGCTTACTAGTGACATTCTTAATGAGATTCGGGAAGGTCAAAATTTTAATTTGAGTTTGGTGGATCGGTTGAATTTGAGCAATCAAGGTCGAGGTGGTGATTTTCGGATTGATGAAAATGGTATCATGAAATGTCGGGATAGAGTTTGTGTTCGGGATATAGCTGAACTGAAAAAGAGTATTCTTGAGGAAGGGCATCATAATAGATTGAGTATTCATCCTGATGCTACGAAGATGTATCAGGAGTTGAGGAAAATATTTTGGTGGTCCGGTATGAAGAAAGATATTGCAGAGTTTGTGTATTTTTGTTTGACTTGTCAAAAGTTGAAAATCGAACATCAGAAACTATCGGGTTTGATGCAACCGTTATGCATTCCTGAATGGAAATGGGATAACATTTCGATGGATTTTGTGTCTGGATTACCGAGAACATCGAAGAACTTTGAGGCTATTTGGGTTATTGTGGATAGATTGACGAAATATGCTCACTTTATTCCAATGAGAATGGATTATCCATTAGAGAAGTTAGCAAAGTTGTACATTGAGAGGATTGTCAGTTTGTATGGTATTCCGTCTAACATTGTGTCAAATAGGGATCTGAGGTTTACTTTGATATTTTGGGAGAGTTTGCAAGATATGTTGGGTACGAAGTTGTGTTTGAGTTCTGTTTATCATCCGCAGACAAATGGTCAGGCTGAGAGGATGATTCAGTCACTTGAGGATCTTTTGAGAGTTTGTGTGTTGGAAAAAAGAGGTACTTGGGATAGTTATTTGTAGGGGTGTGCATGGATCAATAACCAAACCAAATTGAACCTTATATATGATTTGGTTCGGATCTTAATACTATTTCATTAAAATCGATTTACATGTAGATCGATTCAGTTCTAAACCGATTTCTCACAAAAATCAATTTTGAAAAAAAAAATTGGTTTTAAACTGATTTCTCTCAAAATCAATTTTTAATTTTCTTTAAAAAAATCAATTTTAAAATTGGTTTTTTTTTATAAAACCAATTTTATAAAAAAAAAAACGACTTTAAAACCATTTTTTTAAAAAAAACAAATTTTATATCAAAAATAGTTTTATTTTCTTTTACCCGCCTTTTTATTTTAAGTAGTTCTAAAACTAGTTTATGTTACAAATAGTTATTTAAAAAAATTGATTTTACTTGCATAATAGTATTATAACACTATCAGAAAATTGTTATAATATTACCATAAAAAAATATAACCAAGCCTGTTTATGTTCATATAGTTTTAGGAATTAAGAGCTAAATTATCCAAAGCATTATTCAAATTGAAATTTAAGTCATCCTTAATCCGTCTATGCCAACTGATTTAAATGTTAAACTTGTTAATCTAGAACTCTTTAGAATTGGACTCCAATTCTACATTGATCTTTGATCTAATTTATTGTTTAGATAAATTATATTTACAATTGAACATTGACAACCACAATGAACATTGCAAAAAAATGGAATAGAAAGCTATGAACACACACGAGCTATTTGCCTTTCTCTTTCTTCAAACAAAAGAATTAAAGAATTTTCGTCTCTTTAGATACACATCTTTTATAGGGCACAAACCCTCTTCTAGATTTCTTCAGGAACACTCTTTCATGATGATGTTTTCGACTTTGAGTATCATTGGTATTTATGGAATTGTTCTTGCTTTGATTTTCCATATCACAGACTGATCCGGTATTAGAATCAGTGCAAGAACTTTCCTTTCTTGAGTTCTTACCTTCAAACAAGGCCTGAGTGGAACAGGACTTAAAATCTAATGATTGCATGGCTTGAGGCTCAAAGCTGGAAGGCCTTAGTACAAACTCCAACATGGTAAAGACGATGCGCATTCACCGACGCCACACGGATTCTCCTTCAGTTGCTCCGTACTTTGACAATTACCACTATACATGCTTAGTGATAGTATTTCCACTAATCGTTTTATTCTTCTGACGATACAATGAAATGATTCCAAGTTTATGAATGATTCTTTCGCTTCTTAGTGTGAGAAGGTGGCATTTAATTAGAAACAGTAGGTGGAGGGATTGAAATTGTATTCTCAGTGGAAAAGACTTATAGGTTATAAGTTAGGTCTGTTGCATAAGTTGTGCCAACATTAATCATCTTGATTTTGTTAAAAATAGAAAAATTAGAAATTCCATTTGAAACAAGTGTTTTTGAAATATAAACAATCCAACATACTTACTCGAGATCTATATTAAATATCAAGTAAATGATAAATAAAGCATACACTAATACAGTATAAGGAATGCAAGATAAAAACTTGTACAAATACAAGATAGTTTAAGCAAATTGAAATGAGAATGATTTAAGACCAACACAACAAAAATATACCAGAACAAAATATTAACTCCACACCAATGAATCCAATCAACAGACTTATTCTATGACATCTCTTACCAAACTTGCATCAGACCTAACTTATAACCTATAAGTCTTTTGACCACTCAAACACAAACACCAGCAAGCACATCTACAAGACTCCCAAATTGGCTTGATAGTAAAATATGAAATCAATGCCTTACCAACTACTAGCCAAAATTCTATAACTATACAAAATAAGAGATGAAACTTCAATGAACACTCTCAGCTGCATCAAGGCTAACCAGGATCAGCATCGGAAACACAATAGAACCAACTCTCAAAAACATTTGGCCACTTGAAACCAACATTCACAACTCTGTCTTGAACTCATGATGCAAATCTAGTATACATACCTCTAAATTGATTTCGTAACAACCTAAATATCATCCATTTTATTTGATTGTAGCATTAGGGCTCTACACATTTGAAATCTAGAACATGTCATTAAGCTGACTAGATATACAACAACAAAACATCCAGAAAGAACAAAAGGAAAAAAAAGCTTTACCAAACAAGAATCTTCTTTCTAACAATTGAATCAATTTCTTCAAAACATGATAACTGGCCAAGAAAGAACGAAAGATCCATAATTTTAAATAATTCCAGTTAGAATATTTTTTTTATCTCTGTTGTTTCATAACAACTAAAAAGTGTCATATGTTTTGAATAGGGTAATAGGGTATATGATTTAGAATTAGATACTTCTATTGTTTCATATCAACTAAAAGTTGTCATACATATTTTGAACAGATTTTGGTGAAGCCAAACACTTTTGAAGCTCAACAAATATAAGAAATACAAACTTAAAACAACTTTATTCAAACTAAAGTGTTGATAGTAACACATATTGCTAGATGAAATAGTAACTTCACATATTAACATTCAGCACCAAATTGTATTACAATGACAAGTTAAAATTCACACATAGAAGTTGATACTAGTACTAGCTCTCTATTTCTAGGGTTGTGAAAATTAAATTTGGAAATTAAAAAGGTTTAATTCACACATAAAAGCTGATACTAGTACTAAAACTGATTGATTGAAAGAAAAAGATTCAGATGAAACTAAAAAGCTTCAGTGAAGAAATTTACTTACAGGAAACACAGAAGAGGGCTTGAAGGTGTTGTCGAAGGTTGGATTTGAAGAACGATTTCGTCGATTTTACAACTATTTTAATAAATCCGTAATTGTGATTTGGATAATTTCGTTGAATTTGAGAATGATTTCGTCGATTTCATTATTGGATTTTGGGATTAGGGTTTTGAAGTTGAAGGGTTTTAAAGAATGATATGTTGAATTTCATTGGAAGTGATGGAAAGGAGAAGATGTATTGTGTGCTGCAGTTGGGAGAAAGAGAAAGAGTGTTGAATATGAAATACTATGGTAACCGATAAGCTAAACCGGTTTAAAATATGGGTACTAGGTTTTGTTTTATTTTATTAAATGGGCTCCAGGTTTAAATTATAGTATTGGATTAGGTTTTAAAATTTGGATTAATTTGGATAGGAATTTGGTTTATGGTTATTGGATTATTTACACACCCCTAGTTATTTGACTTTAATTGAGTTTACTTACAACAACAATTTCCATTTGAGTATCGATATGGCACCGTTTAAAGCATTGTATGATAGAAGGTGTAGGATGCCATTGTGTTGGTATGAGTCGAGAGAGAGTTTTGTGGTTGGACCTGAGATAGTCCCACAGACTATCGATAAGATTAAGATGATTCAGGAGAAGATGAAGATTTATCATAGTCGTCATAAGAGTTATCATTAAAAGAAGAGGAAAGCACTTGAGTTCCAAAAGGATGATCATGTGTTTTTGAGAGTTACTCTGGTAACTAGTGTTGATCGAGCATTAAAGTCGTGTTAGTTAACACTATATTTTATTGGTCCATACCAGATTTCAGAGAAGATATGAGATATGACCTATCGGATTACTTTGCCACTGTCGCTTTATAATCTTCATGATGTGTTTCATATATCTTAACTGAGGAAAAACATTGCGGATCCGTCTCATGTGGTCCAAGTAGATGATGTGTAGGTGAGAGATAACCTGACTCTGGAGACATCACTTATGCAGATAGAGGATCGGGAGTTGAAGTAGCTTCGAGGTAAAGAGATTTCCTTAGTGAAGGTAGGTTGGGGAGGACCATAGGGCGAGAACATGACTTGGGAGCTCGAGAGTCAGATGAGGGAGTCATATCCTGATATGTTCGTTTGAGGTAATTTTTTAGGGCGAAAATCCTTTTTAGTGGGGGAGAGTTGTAACACCTCAATTTTATTAAGTAGTTATATATTTTATTATTTTATTATTTGTTTGATTTTATGAGTAATTGATTTAATTTAAATGACTTGAGGTATGTTATAGGTGACGGGTTAGTAAAATATTGGTAATTGGGCCTAATATGTGGGAGTGTGAAGAGTAATTGAGCCTAGTAGTTGTTGGGTTAGTGTTATTTTTTTAAGAGTATAAGAGGAAAATAAAACTAAGTTAGTAAAAAAAGAGAAAAGAGGCAAAAGTAGACACAAAGGAAAAGGGAGAAAAAGTAGAAGAACACCTAAGGAGGAATTCAAAAGTTCATCACGAAATTAAGGTAAGGGTGGGTGTTTACATTGTTATGGGAATTGTATGATGATGTACGATGATGTATGATGGGTAGATTCATGTTTAGGATGAAACCCCTAAATTCAAATGGTTTTGAAATTGTTAGGTTTTGATGATAAATCCTTGATTATGATGAGTAATGGTGTTGTGGTGTTTCTATTTAAAAATACATGTTAGATATAGGTTATAACACCTTAAATCGTTGTAATTTGGATGTTAAAATGTGTCTTTGGGTAGAAGAATCGCACATAGAGAATGTTGTCTGCACATAAACTTTTCTAGTTTTTAGGTTCATGGTGGTCGCTGTGGGGTTGTGGCTGGCGCCATGGCATGGTGGTGGCAGACCTCACTGAGGTTGTCGTGGCCAGGCAGATTTGGTTTCCAACGCGGTTTTGATCATAACTTTTTAACCATATATCCAAATGACAATTCGTTTAAAGTGTTGGAAATCTAATGAATAGAAATATAGCATAGTACAGATAAGATAATTGGTTTCCCAATATTTTTATGTCTAATATGTTTTGGAATTCAATTGTGTATATGTTCTACTAATGAATTGTTGCACTGTTTGCTGCAGGTTGTGAAATTAATTATGGATAATTAATTGAATACTTATGTGTGTGTGTGTGTGTGTTGTACCCCAAAATTTGCCCTCCCATTTTCCTCAACATTTTCTCACCACAAGACCCTTGGAGCTCAAGGTCCAGTTAGGGTTTCCTCTGCTCAAGACTTCTCCTTGCACTGTTGACCCAAATTAGGGTTTGTGTTTGCACAAAGATATTTTGACCTAAAATGCCTAAGATGACTTTCATGCTTCATGTTGGACTCCCAAGTTTATCCATACCAAGTTTCAAGTCTTGATTCCAAATTTTGCCCAGTCAATTGGACAGTTGACCTAAAAATCAGCTGTATTGGGGAAAAAGTCAACTGTGGCCAATTGACAGTCAAATCTCATGAAAATTGACCCACATAAACATTATGAACTCAAATGGACCATTTGATCAAGTTTGGATCACAATTCCACAAGAAATTTAATCAGATCACCAAAAGGGCAAAATGGTCATTTTTAGGGTTTTGACTGCACAAAGGCAATTTTTGACTGTTTGACCTAGCCAATGGCAAACCAAGCTCACATATGGACTCAAGGACCCCATGGAATTGTCTTGACATACTCAACAAGTTCAAAAGATCCCAAATACACAAGATTGACAATTGAATTTCCCAGTCAATTGATCAATTTTGACTGTATACTGAAAAGTCAAACTTTGACTTTTTGGTCAAAATCAAGTGTCAAGATTCATTTTTCATCAAAACATGCCAAATCATGAAACTTGTTCATCAAGAAATCAAGAATTGCAAATTAGGGTTTGAAATGAAGATTTTTCATGCCTTAGAATTTTTCTAAGTTATGAAAAACCCTAATTTTTTCCTAACTTTGTCGCACTTTCTCACCAAGATGCACTTGGATTCAAGGAAAAGTCAAAACATGAAAGTTGTAGCCTATTGCAAAATCTACAACTTTGATTCACAAAGTTTCCTCAAAATAAGCTTGTAGCTCAAGTTACAATTTTTGGAACAAGGGTACCAAACCATTCTTAACTTAGAGAAAATTTGACCTATTTTAGGCAGGATTTTTGCCTAACTTCAAGACCATTTTTCACATGCTTCCACTTGTAATTTCAATTTGCATTTCAAACATGGATTGTAGCACACATTCCAAGCTTTCCAAAATGTCCAAGAACTCATCAAACAACCTCATGGTTAGGGAGAATCGAATTTGGCAAGTTGGGAAAAACTCACTTTTGATTTGGGCCAATTTACATGTTCATACATTTGTGCCATTTTGAATTCAGCTTGC